AAAAATTCTGCATAGGGCCTGTGTCCCGTACTTTTTGCCTTCTGGGACTTCTTCTCCATGACCGAAGATTTCAAGTTGCCCAAAGAGTTCTCAACAGCGTCCTACTTGACACACTGTCCATGGTTCTGCCCTACGGTAGCCGGTTTCTGGGAGCAAGTACACTCCTACATTAAACATGTTCTTTCCTGTTTGGATACTTCTCTACGTCATTGGATGGACGGGGTCGACCCTCGTACAAGGGGATGGATTGGATGCATATCTGTCTTCTCACGGCGAGGAAATGTATCATGAGGCAGTGGAATGCGTCCTCCCCTCCTACCATTCTGGAAGTCACTAGGGATCTACAACTCTTAGTCCGTAGGGAAAGACTGGATGGTAAACTTCACTTGGATACTTGTACTAAAAAATGTTTGCGCAGATGGCGATGCTTTTTGGTCAAATCTTTCTCTGCCGCTGAAGTAATATCTATTGTAAAACCGTTCCAATTTACAGAATGGTATCTGAAGGCTAAGTTGTTAAATACCTTGCCTGCACTCTTCTTTAATTGTTTATTATACTATCTGGGTGGTGACCAGTTTTGATTGATATATGCTGATGCTCTAAGGTTCATAGCTATCTAATCGCTTAATGTCCTCTTTTTTTGTATCCCACCTTTGTACGTATGACTATTGGATCGCAGAGCTTTATCTCTGTGTTGTTGTGAAAAACTGTAATAAACTTTGCTTAAAAAAACAACAAAAAACTGAGACACCCATTTTCCAAGTCAAAATTACAGAATGTGGTAGGGCATGACTACAGCGGGTGTAGAGAGTGCAACTGCTTCAGGGTAATGAGGTCAGGGGGCCTAACTACTTCCTTTAATATACCAGCTGTGTGCTCACATTGCATTCTGTACAAGATGAGGCACAATTTCTCTTTCTTGCATTCCTTTCTATCATCTGCCAATGCGTCTCTCGTGGGTTTTATTGGAGGAGAGCAAATGTTAGCCCACATTATTAAAAAGCTGTATGGAACAAACGTTGTATAAGATATGAGAATGTCCTGGGTACAACTGTGCACCAAGTCTCTGAGTCTCTTTGGCTTTTAGCTATGCCCCAGAGAAAATGTTACTTTATATGTGCATTATATCAGCTTTATGTGTGGTCCTTCGTTTGCCTCTGTTGTGATGTTCTATAGCAGAACACCGTTTATACAATGCTTCTCCATCCTCCTGTTACCGATTAGGGCCTCTGTATTAATCCATCATATCGCATGTCTCCACTCTCCCCGCTCCCCTCTCTCTCTCTCTCTCTCTCTTTCCTGCAGCAGACACTATCATCTGTATCTTGCCTTTTATCTAAATCTTCTCAATTTTCCTGACAATATCCACCCCATCTGTTGTCAGTGCTATCACCCACAAGGTGCATCCCCTCCCCCCTTCCTTAGTTTTCGTCTCCTCATTATTCTAGTACTGTCATGCTTTTTTTCCATTCTGCTCAACCCTGCACCCTGACTATCTCCGTGTACTGCACAAATAACAGAACTATCAGTCAGACCGTGCTAAGCGAGAAAATATACATTCAACGCTAGTCTCTGTGTTTGCAAGTAAAAAAAGGTTTGGAGAGGTCCATCCGTCATCCTGCCATTGTGCTGTCAGATCAGCCAATGGCTGTCATCGCTAGAGGTGTGCCTAACCATGCTGTGTCTAACTTGGCTTCTGTAACACCGTTCTTCTCAACCCAGACATAAAACTAATGTGTGTATTACCTTGGTATACTGTATACATAGCCCATCATAAAGTCATATTGACCCTATATGAGAAAGCAAAAAATAAAAAATCAAGTCTACAGAATCAATCTCATACATAAGAGGTCAGAACCAGTGTGCTGTGAAATGAAGGCATATTAATTGACTGTATTGAGGGCCCACAAAAAACCTGCTTGACCAGCGTTGTCATTCAGCGGGACAAACTATCTCAACTGGTTATAAGGCAGCAGGGCCATTCAATGAGCATTCTTGACCTACAGCCCACTTCAACAAGTACCACTACAAGTAAGATAAGGGTAGCTCTCCTTGGCGGTCTTGTGGAGGTACTGACATTACATTAAAGCTCCACTGTCTCATTACAACAGTTGGAGACTAACAGGGTTATTCACAAAAGGGCAAAGAGTTTGGAGAAATCAGGAGAAGTGAACAATCTAGGCCAAAATAGCTTATTTGGAAAAATGTCTCTAATTTAGCTCACTTTCCATTTCAGCTATATTGACCTAGATTGTTCACTACTCCTGCCTTCTCCAAACTCTTCACTCATTAGTGAATTACCCTGTAAATAATCCTAAATCTTCCAGCTCTGCCTAAGGTATGGGAAGGGCCAAGAACATGACAGAGCTTGAGATATCCCTATTATGCAGTGCAGGGAGACACTTCTTGGCCGTGCGTTATCAAGAAATGTGTCAGCACCCAAGTTGTTTGTTGCAGCAGAGGAGTTAGCAGTAGGGCTTCAAAGCTAAACTATAAGCAAGTAGCTAAATGCACAGGTAAAGTAGACCTGAAAAGCGTACAGGTAAAGTATATACACCTAGAAGCTTTGTAATTTTGTTCATGTAGGCTGTGGCTGTGGCCCCTCCTTCTCCAAGTCAGAAAGCTGCTCTGTAAAGGATTACAGAAGGTTAATATAAAGGCAGATTCAGGTATCTACGCTAGCAGTGTTCATTATTATTATTTTTTTAATACATAGCTAGATTAAATGATAATATTTTTTAGCTACTCGGAGTTCAACTTTAACATTACCTTTCCTAAATACATTAATTCTGTAGAACCTTTCTTGTTAACACACAATAATATAGCTGAAAACAATGATTGAACAATACAGGTTTTACAGATTATGTGCATCATTGTTAGGACTGATGCCACGCTGGCAGGTTGGCATCATTCATCCAGCATGTTGATTTTGCCAGCACTGATCTTGTCGCTTAGTGGTGGCTGTCCATGCATTTCCTCCACTGATTTAAATGATTAGCACAATGCAGACATTTGCTGTCCTTGTCCGGGCCCAATTAGAGCAACAAATGAAGCTTAATGAAGGCATGGGGATGCGTGTCACATCCATGTAACCAACCCATCACTCGAATCCCACAGAACAGGCCTTCTAACCATTCACTGTCATAAAGGCCTGGAATAGTTGGCACCCTAACTCGGAGAAAGACCTCACACAAGAAGCAACAAAGCAATAAGCAAAGACCCAAATGGACAGAATATAATTTACGCAAACAGGCACAGCAATGGGCATGTGAGTATGAGAAAATGTTGGCTGTAGGTTGTCAAATTTTACATCCAATCAACCATGCTCTAATGAAGGCCAAATGGAAAATAATAGCCTTCCAGTACAAATTGTTGGGTTAATGTATTCACCAGTTATTGCCGTGACTTTTTTTTGGCCAGTCTGGACACTTTGAACGTCTGCCTATAAACACAAACCACAAGATTACGCATTTGCCATCCTCGATTTCGTTTCACTGTTACTGGGCCTTACTTTCCCTGGTGTCATTATTAAGCCTGCCAGCTGCCCTTCCAGTGTCCAATGAAACTGCTTCCATGGGCCATAAGGGCAATAACAAAGTGAAATAAAATCAGAAAGGGGCACATATGAAGATAACAATGGTAATAACAAATCTTGTAGTGTTTGCAGTGCTTTTGCTTTTAAAAGTTTTAAATGGACCACAGGTTCACTTTACTGGCCCCTTAAAGTGACATTAAACCCTCAGATTTTTTAACATAAAACAATACTGTAATGTGTGCCTTACTGTAATCCATGGTTGTTTCCCTTCTCTTTGCTGCTCTTCCTTTTAAATCCGTATCGCTTCTCATGCTGGGCAGAACTTCTGTCTTGCAGCAGACTGCCTGGTCTCGGGAATGGATACATGGTGTCTGTGTGAAGGTTCACAACCTGAGCCACCACTACAGGAAGAGGCACTCAGCTGCAAAGGGAAGTTCTCCCCCAGCATAAGAAGAGATAAGGATTTAAAAGGAAGAGCAGCAAAGAGAAGGGAAACTATCATGGATTACAGTAAGGCGCACATTACAGTATTGGTTTATGTTAAAAAATCTGAGGATTTAATGTCACTTTAAGGACTCTGCACACGGAAATGGGCTTATCCGTGAAGTCAGGAAAAGTCAAGCCCTCAGTAAGTAGGTTTTTTGGCTAATAATGATTACAGTGTATACCAGGGGTAGGCAACCGAGGCCCTCCAACTATGGTGAAACTATTAATTCCACCATGCCTCTGCCACTGGGAGTCATGCCTGTGGCTGCCAGTCTTGCAATTCTTCATAGGCTTTGTAGTTTTACCACAGCTGGAGTGCCAAAGTTGCCTACCCCTGATGTGTACCATGTGGTACCTGCTCTTAGCCAGGACTTCATGTTTGAAATGTTTAAAAATGGCTGACAGGTTCATGTTTATCCCATATATCAGCATTTGCAAAGATCTCTAATTTGCTTCATCACCAGCCCATAACAGACTGTGCTGTATTTCTCATATATAAAATTAAAACATACAAAAATAACCTCTTCCTTGTGTAGTACTTCTTTAATAAAGAAGTAAATAACCATAAAACAAATTAATATACTCACAAAGGTCATTAGTGCATAGTGTTATATTGCTCATGGACCTATCAATAGGATAAGTTCATGCATATAAAATCCACCACTAGGGACAGACTGCCAGCCATGAAGCAGGCTACTCCGTCACAGTCAGCTGACATCTGACGCGTTTCTCGGGCCACACCACCTTCAGAGCTTTATAGGTTTTTAATCTTTAAGTCCTATCTTTAATTGCTGTTTGTATCCTTGTTCAGAAGACTTTCTCTCATTTCCTGTCTCGGTGATCACCATCATTGGTCCATGGTTGAAATTCTGTTTGAAATATAAAGGGTAGCATTTCTTCTATTTTATAAATATTTCTGGACTTTTAAATGTATCCTACATGCCTAATTCAGTGCACTGAGATATAAGCTATAATCAAAAGCTACATTTTCTTTTTCTTCTTAAAGGTCATCACAGTGGGGGTCAGTCTTGCACTAACCTCTATCCAGGACCAATGTGAAATTCTCCAGAGTGGCTCAAACATCACAGGTGAGTAATAAGATGCGCAGGAAACGTTCCTCAGTAATTTAAGTCTTTGGTGTTTGAAGAACAGCCTAGTTACTGCTTTAATGTACTGAACAGTTTATGGCTGGGACACAGATTAAAGTAAAATTGTAATTTAAAATGTTTAAAAGTTACAGACATGCCTAAGAACAGATATAGCAGTGTATTGGCTACTTCACTTGAAAGCCACAAAAACAATTACATTTCAAAAAGCAGCAGTATGAACTTACCACGACCATACTTCTGCTGCTTTAAGGGCAATCTAAAACCTTTTTTTTTTTCTTGGATACAGTAGGGAAGGGTTAGAGTCTTTGTCAAGTGTAGGAAAATCTAAAATCTTGACTTGTCAATGAAACAAGAATAGATAGGACATCTTCCAATGTGGATACTTGCTATGGTGGCAAATGTCTAATAGAGAACATTTCTCCCACTTTGGAAAGACCTCTACTTACTTCCTGTTGTGCCTAGCGGCAGGTTGTGAAAGGCTATCTCCAGGGGAAAATAAAAATACCCTTGCAGTGCGGCTATTCCTACACTGCAATGGTAACTGCTTGTTTACGTCAAGGGTAACTGTATAAAGGGCTTTTACATATCTGATCCCCACTCACCCAGCAGTCAGTGTTGAGCGCTTGTGATGCTACTGGACTGAAGACACTTTGATAAAAGGTTTTTCTAGAAATTGTTTTTATTTAAGGCTGCATTATTGCCCAATGGGGGCAGGGGTATTTCCCAAGCCTGGAATTGCACTGATGTTTCAGGTACATTCTGGAGTGACCACGTTCTGAAATGTCTCATTGACTCTACATTGAGATCTATGTGCTGAGTTCCTGAGTCTGAACATCTGCTGTTGCCATTATGAAGAGCCCCCACTCTACCATGTTGTGGAGAATGTGACTCATACATCTAAGTGAATTAGTGAAAGCTTTGTCAAAAGTGAAGTAATTCTATTAGTTATGGCTGTTGCCAGATACAATTATTGACAAGAATGTTGTTCCCCTGCAGGTCTGGCCTGTAATGTATCTATTGATATGATTGGGACGTGTTGGCCTCGTACACCAGCTGGGCAACTGGTGGCAAGACCATGTCCTGAATACTTCCAGGGTGTACAGTACAACACAACAGGTAAGGCACTAACTCACATCATTCCAAGACATAGAAATACCATTACATCTGGTGGAAAACTTCTATAACAATTAGACTGAACTCTGTACCTAATGTAATGTGGTACATGGTAGTGCTAGATGACTTTTCTGTTTTCATTTTCTTACAAACCCTATATGCGACCCTTTCCACATGTAGGATGATTATTGCGAGAATAATGAAGTGCCACCAATGAAGTGCGAGGAACAGTATTTTCAGACACTGTTTTTGTTTTTCAATTTTAATAGGCCTACTTCACAGACGTCCTCATTAATGTGCAAGGGGGGTTGCCACAACATTGCACTCCGATCTTTAACTTTTAATTCTGTGTATAATAATGTTCATTTCTTTATTAATCCCACTCTTCTATCCTGCATATATTTCACCAGGAAGACGTGTCACAAAGGGTTGGGCATTTGGCCAAAGCCGTTAACATTTGTAGCAGCATTTAAGATCATTGACTGCTATGACAAATTCAGTGGATCACTGCTTCTAATAGGCAAAAGAGTTGATGGGAAAATATAGAGCAGTGGTTCGTAACCTCTCTCAGCTGGAACCCATATTCTATCTATAAATCAGCTCTAAAACTGATGGATTAGGTTTTCAGTGAATTGGCCTCTTTTAAATGACTTGAGAGGGTACAGATTACTGTCCATTTACATAATGAAAGGAAACTGGCAACTTATGCAAAATAATATTAGAACATAATAAATAGAGATGAGCTAATCAATTCAACGGTTAATGTAATACCGCACAAGCCAAAGGAGATTTGCTGTTCCATATGGCCCATGTTTGCACCAATTTTTCAAATCCGCAGCGAATTGTCAGACTGCAAATTAAAGCAAGTTTCTTCTTTAGCTAATTAATCATTATATGCTTCTAATTTTTACAGATTTAAACACTGCTTAGTTAGGTAAAGTATGTGAACAACTAGTTCAGATAATCTTGTATCATTGTCTGGGATAGAAATTTTTCTCAGTTCCTCTACCGTTATCAAACTTCAGGGAAGCTAATAAATGCTGATGTAAGATAATTGCATAATATACTCACAATGCTATGGAGAAGGACAGGGGAGGTAGGTAGTGTACTTGCTTCCTCTAGGTAAGACATGTTTTGGTATATTTATTTATTACAGGTATTTATATAGCGCCCATAACTTTTATACAGCGCTTTACATAGTTATTATTATTATACAGGATTTATACAGCGCCAATAGTTTGCACAGTGCTTTACAATATAAGGAAGACATTACAGCCACAATACAATTCAAGACAAGATGGTAAGGAGGGCCCTGCCCGTTGCACATTCACATCAGTCCCTGCCCTCAAGGAGCTTACAGGAGCTAATCAACCATCCAGCATGTCTTTGGAGTGTGTCTTGGTGATGGACGCCGGCAGAGAGAGGAGGAAACAGCCACCCGGCGGGATAAGGTATGCCGCCAGGTCCCCTCCTCTCTCCTGATACTGTTGGGCGTTCGGTCCATGACCGAGCGCCTGACTTTTCAGAGGGGGGTGACACCAAAATGACTGTAAGTCATTTTGGTGTCACCCATCAAATGGTGTCACCCGGGTGCGGGTCGCACCCCCCACACCTCCCTTTTGACGCCACTGACTGAAACAAATCTCCCCTTTGGAAGACTTTCTATTCAGATGAAACTTTGGCATTTTCTATCACTTTCAGTAGGGCACATAAAGTGGTTTGTTGCTTCAACGGGGACCCAGATATCAAAAACAACCTGACAGGATAGTTACACCTTGCCTGTCCTATCTAAATCTAAAAAAAAAAGTCAGGCAGAGGGAAAGGACTAGTTACCGGTATTGCCAGTGGTCTCCCTGCAGCTGATCTGTTCACCAATACTGACTTACCATGCCTTGTTGTGCACTGTGTCTCTGGGAGTAATGTCATGCTAGGGTATGGTAGGGGACCGGCAGTTTCAGCATATCTGCTGTGCTGGATTCGCGGTGGCAAGGGACCTAAAACAGTAACTTAAGTGAATATAACTTGCTTCAAAAGTTATGAAAAATAAATCCTTGTAGTTTGGTTTGTTGAAGGGGAGGAAGGGAGTGAAGGGTGGGAGGGGTGACCAAATAGTGCTTTAAGATTGTACACTAAGCCGTGCATGTACAATTTCAAGATGCCTAGGGTGGCGGGATGAATTGGCCAATCAAGATGAATAGGAGATGTCAGCTGCAACTCGGGAACTCAGAGACATCGCATTGTTGGAGGAGAGGTAAGTGCAGCAGACTGGGCTGATATTAAGCTATAATATCATAGCTATAATATCATAGCTTGAAGGCCACCTGGGGCAAAGAAACATCTTCAACTAAACTGAAAAAAATGTAATTGCTCAAATCCAAATGGCCTTCATATATAGAATGTATGAGGTACTAGAGGACACTGGACAGTTAAAACTGAGAAAACACTGTATAAGCAGAAGTTACCTTTAGTGAATACCACATGTCAAAATGATCTGTAGATCCACAATTGAAGTCTTCTGCACAGGGAGTTGCTAATTTCAAGTGTTTGGTTGTGCCTAATGGCATTATGGTGTAGCACGATGATGGCTACAAAAATGGTTACTGGCTTTCCTTTGTTTGGTTGGGTCTGGTTTGTAAAAAAATAAATTTAAAGTCCAAAATAAGGCTAAATTAATATAGGCCAAACTAATACTCTTGTAATGTAAATTTAGACGAAAAAATTTGCACAGTTTGAAATTCCCTTAAGTTGAGTTATTTGTTTGAAATTCCTTTTCATCTTGTGCTTAGGGTTAACAATAATTAAAATCAATTTAACATTTACTTATGCTAAGCTCTTGAACTTAATAAAAGATATAAGTCCCTTATGACTGCCACAAAATATAAAGATAGCCATTACTTACAGACCTTAAAGTGAACTCTTATGCAGGGCAAAGCAAAGCAAGACGGTCATTTTACTGGTGGCCCCACCAGCTACACATACTTTCCTACCCTTTATTCCCCCCAATGTTCTGTTTGCAGTTCTGACTGCTTGAGTAGCCAATTGCCAAGCACCTGCACTGCCACATGGGAAGAAGGGAAGTGAGCCACCTGCTCCCCCATACCTGGAAGGTATCTTTCTTTGCTCCTGGCAGATGAACGGGGTGACAGGGTAGGATAGGTGTGTATGTGCTGCTGGTGAGGTCCTCTACATAAATAAGACATGGGTTTGCTTTTAAGTATATGTAAACCCTAACAATGAACTCCTTTTGGTCTGGTACATATACTGTATATTGAAAGCGCAAAAATACCTGTATATCCTGCCTGAAATCCATTAAGCTGATAACTATTATGGTTACTAAATGGAGTTTGCCAGTTTGAATGTAGTGTGTTGTTATAATAATAGATTATGGCCACTAGATGGAGCTGAAGGGCTTTAGAAATAGATACTTATTTCCTATGCTCCTCCGCTCCTTCTAGTGGCCATAATGTATTATTACAACACACTACATTCAAATAAGGAAACTCCACTTAGTGGCTATAATGTATTATTACAACACTACATTAGTTACAACTGGGAAAAATATATTAAGAACATTCATTTTTGGCATTATTCGCCCCCTAAACAAACATTTCATAGATATTCACAGGGTGAAAGGCCAATTGTTTATAAATAACCGCCATAGTTCCCTCCCTAATTATGTGCCCTTATTTTAAATCAGCATTCTGGAAGGTAGCGAAGACTAAGAGGAAGTTTTGGGAAATTTGAACTTTGCTGTTGTAGGTGGGGACAACTCACAGGTTCTCCGTCATGAAGATGACACGGGCAGACCATTACCTACAGGAGTAATTTTAGTCTTCCCATCTGTCGCTATAACAAGAAAGTTACAGATGATTCCCATTATCAGCCACACTACAGTTTTGCTTGGCAGAGCTTTTGATTCTTCTATAGCATTATTTATCTTTATTACCGGGGCCTGTTATTCACCGCCGAGGTCTTTGATGCCTATAACAATCTTCACTCATTCTGTTGGCTCCATGATTTGTGATGTGCCGGCAGCAGATCACCGGTAGGAGGTGGATAATACTTTTTTTCTGCTGCATGGCATTAGTGGCTGCAGCTGGGCTCCACCTGAATATAGCAGGCAGAAGGCTCAGTGGGCATTGCTCTGCTCTATGGGCTTCATGCATTATAGAAGGCGAGCTGTGATGCGGTCACTGAAAAATCGAAGCAGTTTAACATCACTGAAGCTGCTTGAGGCATTGCTTTCAAGTAAACCTTTCCACTCTGAAAATAAAAATGGAGGAAAAATTAGATTCTTCTCCAGCATGTGCACTTGTCTTAATCCCACTGTATGTACATTTCTTTATCTGCAGTGTGGATAGAGCTAAGAAATTAAAAAAAAAAATCCCTGCACACACTGCTTCTGTCCTGAGGCTGCTGTGAGCTGTACTACTAGAAATAGCAATGATCCAGGGCTGTCCCTATAATGAGGCAGCCAGAGGCCCCTCTTTGGGTCACAAAGGGATGGCCAGCAGAGCGTCCCAGGTTGCTTAGAACCAAGCACAGAGATGCGTAAGGACCATACACATCTTCCCCTCAAGCTCTTAGCAACCTGGGACACTCTGGTCAGCATTCCGCCCAGCTTCTGGCAACCAGTGATGTCAGTGAGCTGGGTGGGATGCTGGCTGGGTGCTGAGATGATCCACCCCCCTCCCCATTAGCGTGCATCACCAGGATGGGTTGGATTGCCCCTCTTCAGTCCCGAGTTTATATGTTTGCATGCTGCTTGACCATAACATTAGCAAAAATACGCATTAAACTTTGTTAACCATCCCAGCTATTCCAACTTGTACAAGGGATAGGGAAATTACAGGACCTCTAGCTGCAGCAGGGAAAAATCAGGTCTCATCTCCTGCCAGACAGGTTTATGCTAGGTGGTTGGTCCAGGATGACCTGGGCTCAGAGAGGCTTTAAATGATGCTGGGCATCAGACTGAGGCAAAAAAAAAAAAGTACTGCATGCAA